TAATGATAAAGACGAAATAGAAAACACCCCTGCACATGTCGCAAATTCTCGTGTAATTTTACAACCTAAGCGACGTAATCCCCTAGTCAGACACTCTAGTAGAGAAAACTCTGTTGAAGTAGTAATGGATGAAGTTCCCCTAAATTCAGGATATTCATCGATAATCAAAAACAAAACTAATAAATTTCTTTCTCACAATCCAAGCGTAGCACTAATTTTAAATGATTCTATGTCAACTATTTTCATCCCAGCAAAACTCAATCAAGAAAATGTTATCGCACTATTTGACACTGGATCGGCTATAACTCTAATTTCTCACAGATTAGCAAAACTTTTGAATACACCCATGAACAAACCATCATTACAACAGGGCATTACTGCTAATGGAACGCCTATTAAATTCATTGGAGAACTTTCGCCCATCCTCCAAGTAGGCGACAAAATCATCGAAATACTGACTTACGTAGTTCACGATAAGGACTGCACCGCAGAGTTTCTTATAGGAAATGATACTATTAAGAAAATAGCTTCTAACATTTCAATAAATTACGATAACAACACCATATCTTTTGATCAAAACATGGTTAATTTCATCACTTCAACAGACTCTGAATCTTCCACTTTCGAAATCCCAGTACGTTTATCAATGCACACCACTCTTCCACCAAACAGCGATAACATTGTCCAAGGTAATCTCCACACTAGCTACCCTAACCAATGGGAATTCTTCATTTGTGATGACAATTTTATTACTTTACCATTTGGAGTAGCTATCGGAAAAACACTTTCTGCAACAAACAATAATAACAAAGTTATTTTACGAATTTTTAACTCTAATCCGGTACCAATTCACTTTCAGAAAAAGAAATTAATTGCTTATGCAAACTTTGTAGGAATTAACATGAAATGGCCTCCAATATTTTCAGTAATTCCTGAAGAGGAACCTAATGACATTCTGCCATCTTTACAAGAATTAGAACAGTATATACCACCGGAAGCAGATATAAGCAAACAGATGCCACACTTTCCAGCCAATAATGTAATTCCCATACAAGACCGTATCAAGTTTGATAGTTCATCACTTTCACAGCAACAAATCTTACAATTTTACGCCCTATTAGCGAAATATCAAACTTGTTTTGTAGGCGCCGACGGTAATTTAGGTCGGTATAATGGTCCTATATCACATAATATCAATTTCGTTCCTCACGCCAAAGCACCTCAACAGAGACCTTACAGAGTTCCTCTTGAAAAGAGACAAGAAATCAAACGCCAAATTGAAGAAATGTTGCGTACACGTATCATTGAACCCAGTACCAGCAAATTTGCTTCGCCCATTGTTTTAGTTAAGAAAGGATCCAACAAAGACCAGTGGCGCTTCACAGTTGACTATAGACAAATTAATGCCATTACTGAAAATGAAACATATTGCATCCCACACATACAAGATATCATAGATCTTGTTGGAGGCAAAGAACTTTACAGCGTTCTTGATTTTAAAAGCGGATTTTTCCAGATTCCTTTAGAACCTAAACATAAAGAACGTACTGCATTTACATCATTTCTTGGACTATTCCAATTTACTGTAATGGCACAAGGCCTAAAAGGTGCGCCTGGTACATTTCAACGAGTAGCCAATTCCTTAATACGCGAATTACGTGCTTGCTGTTTTGCCTACATAGATGACATAATCATCGCAAGCCAAACCGTCAAAGAACACCTTCAAGATTTAGAAGAAGTTTTCATACGGATTCGTAATTTTGGAATGAAACTCACCCCCGAAAAATGTTCATTCTTCAAAGCAGAAGTTCAGTACCTTGGAGTTTTAATAAGTAAAAAAGGCACTAGATTAAACCCAGACAAAGTCGCTAGTATCATAAACATACCGCAGCCAAGCGACGCTAAGGCCGTAAAATCATTTCTTGGAGCGGCTTCATATTTTCGACGATTCATCCCACGATTTTCATTTATTGCTACTCCCCTCAACGAACTCTTGCAAAAAGATGTTTCATTCAAATGGACTGAGGAACATCAGCAAGCGTTCGAAACCCTCAAACGTGCTCTGGTAAAGGCACCAATCCTCGTCCCACCGACGTTAGGACAACCATACATCATTCATACCGATGCTTCTACAATTGGCGTAGGGGCATGCTTACTGCAGAAGGATTTGGAAAATAGCCTAGAGCACCCAATCGCTTACTGTAGTCGTCCCCTCACAAAACATGAGAAAAACTACGCCATTATAGAGCTGGAAGCTTTAGCAATCGTATTCGCGTTAAAACATTTTTATCCGTACGTTGCAAACGCTTCTATAACTTTGGTAACAGATCATGCTCCTCTCAAATCATTGATGCACCGATCTGATCTGGTCGGTAGGCTAGCTAAATACCAAATTAGCATTCAGGCTTACGACCTTAAAATTGAGTATCGTGCAGGGAAACACAACCAATTGTGTGATTTTCTCAGCAGATACCCCACCGTTTGCACAAATGCGATACAGGTCAACTCTCTGCCAACTTTAGATGCAATTCGACGTTCGCAAACTCAGTCAAAATGGAACGTTGTGATAAAGTTTTTGCGCGGAGAACAAGAGTTCGACGAAACTCTTTTACAAGAATTTTCTGACACCCTAGACAATTACGCACTTTATAATAATTGTCTCTACTTCAAATCGAAGAAAGGACCTTTATTAGTAATTCCTGATAGTGAAATGCAACTCAAAATCATCCAAATTTTTCACAACAACCCCCTTTTAGGCTCTCATTTAGGTATTAGAAAAACACGCAAGGCTATTGAAGCTAAATACTTCTGGCCCCAAATGCTTGTAAACGTAGCCAAATTTGTAAACTCATGTCCTGTTTGCCAGAAAATTAAGACCCCATCTGGTCATATTATTCGTGAGGAATTAGGAGAATTTCCAATACCTCAGCGACCATTTGAGCGTCTACACACCGACATTGTGGGTCCACTTCCCCAATGTATTGACGGAAGTAGATTTATTTCCATAACTGTATGCGCATTTAGCAAACTAATCATATGCACTCCACTTCCAAATCAGTTGACTGATACAGTTGTAAAAGCTCTCGTTAATGATGTTATTTCCAAACATGGCATACCTAACGAGATCGTTTCCGATCGTGGATCTAATTATACGAGTGAAATGTTCGCTCAAATCAACCACGTTTTGGGAATTGCAAACTCTTTTACAACCAGCTATAATCATAAAGCAAATGGGCAAGTTGAGCGTTTAGTCAAAGTTATCACCGATTCCCTTACGGCTTACTGTTCGGAAGCACGCGATATGTGGTCTGATTTTCTTCAGCCTATTGTTTTCGCATATAATACCAGCGTTAATGACACCACAGGTCACAGCCCATATTTCATCGCTTATGGACGACATCCCATAACTTGGTGCGACATTGTGCACCAACTTCCATCCAGAATTTCGTATGCTTCGGATAGCTTTGCTGATCAACTCACAACTGCGCTCCAAACAACTATAACGGAAGTAGGAAAGCAACTTGCAGAAAAAGCCGCAAGGTACAAAGCAGGATACGATTTTCAGCATAAAGTTTTTACGAAGGAAATTTCCACTGGAGATCTTGTGCTATTACACGACGATACTGTCAGGCCAAAATTCTCAGTTCAGTGGAAAGGACCTTACCTCGTAGAAAGCGTAAATCGTCCTAATGTTACTATCAAAAGCTTGACTGGTAAACAAAACAGTCAAACTGTTCATATCAATAGATTGAAAATCTATTGTTCCCGTTTTTCATTTGATAACGTTTCCCATCAATCAATTCAAAACTCACCAATACCCTCGGAAACATTATCAAATGACGAACATCCTGTTAGTCGCCCTGAAAGTTTACAGCTCCACAGCCAGAATCTGGACAGCGATAGCACAGATTCTGAAGAACTGTAAACTGTGAAACCTATCTCTCTGACTAACAGAGCAAGTAAGTTTGAATTTTTTTTTTCTTTCTTCTCCATTTTTTTTTCTCATGCCGCAACCGCGCTAAAAACATACATAATTTCTTTGAATTGGCGATTCACAGAAATAAAATTTTTTTTTCTATTAAGCAGCTCTAGTAAAAAAAATTTAAAAAAAAAAATTTTTTTTCCGTACTATTCTACTACAAATTTCGCCCTTGCACTGATTTGGCGAAATTGTGCCATTTCAGAACAAGTCCCCCCTTTAAGAAAATAAATAAATAAATAAATAGAGAGTACTTCGTTTGTAAATTACAATCCATTATCATAAACTTGACGTTTTTTTTTTCACTACACCGAATATTGTACCAATATATTCGTCCCCCTGTGCAACACTTCAACATTTTTCGTATTTATGTAATGTTTACGATTTACTTACTAAACATGACTGTTGACTTATATTTGTACAACAATAATGCCTGTCACCTAAATCTCAACTTCCCCAACTACTGCCACTGCAATGCATGACACCATGGCCGTCACTTCGACAATATCACCGACGACGTCAACGCCATTCTACACTCTCTCATCGCTCGAGGACGAGCTTCCTCAACCATCCGGGGTAAAGAGAAGGTCGTGACTGCTTCAACAGTTCACCTAATCTTACCTTGGTATGCCAACAAGAGCAACACTTTTTTCAATCAATCTTCAACAAGCTCGAGGACGAGCTTACCGTAGGAATGGAGATGTCGGGATATCATTTCACCATATCTTATGCCTCGTCATGCTTCCACTGTTTACTGGACACGCCACCCCGCCTACGACACAGTTGCTGTTGTACGAGTATAAAAGACAGCATGAATAACTCTTACACACACTCCCTCTCCTGGCTGGTCATCCTCATACCAGTCTACCCTTCCCCCCCTTTTCCTCTCCTTTTATGTAACTTATATAATAAACTAATTTATAATTACTTATGTCTTGGACACAGTACAATAACACCGCTACACCATCAGGCAAAGGTCTGTGCACCCCTTTAACCTGATACATTACACCGAATATTTTACAACCGGTCGTTGTTCTCGATAATCCAACATCCAAAACAGCTTTGAATGGTCTACGACCATTTTCCTCCTCAACGATGAAGTACTCTCCATTTACCTGAAAGGATTATAGAATATTCTGTGCAGTCCTAGTCGACCCAACGTACCTCATCTTGCCCTGCAAAGACATTGTCAAGCTCTAGATTTTTGAGATGACGTCGAGCCAGTAGAAGACCAGTAGCATAGGCTGCTGCGTAATTTGTTAGGCCAACCTGCACATAAAAAGAAAATACTGTAGTATTGAGGCACAATAATTCACATGTACCCAAGCTTTTTAACTCGTGATCTTCAGTGCCTGAGCCGATCGATGGATCGTCGTCACTCAATGCACCAATTGCGCACAAATTTTCTGTTGTTTTCACTGTTTCTCTACGTTCAAAACAATATGGAAATTTTGCAGTGAACATCTCTGTATTCAGTCTGTATTCAGTAGAAAATATCAATGCATTGCTGGCTAGACGTGTTAGAGGTGCTGGCGTTTTTTTTTTCGATGAAAATTGTGTCATTTTCTTACATTTAAAGGATATAGAAGACCGCAACAATTATTTCTATTTATTGTATGTTCATTCGATTTTCCTCCAGCGAGTAATACACTAAAACCATGTAGAAAGTTTCGTTTTTTTTAGATACTTGATTTTCATTTTCAAAAATATGCGGTTTTTGCGAAATGCAGAAATATAGGATTCTTCTAAAATAGTCAAACACTCTTGAAAGCTCTCGCCAACATGGAACTGTTGGTCACTCCCACTTTGTACGACTTTTTTTGCAGCTGCAAGGAAACATAGTCTCGAATGTGAAATTTCATGCCTTCGTATTTACCAATTTTTTAATTGCATTTTTGTAGTGTTTCATCACTCGCTTGTATACTCAAATCTGACTTCGGCTACGGTTTTTTTCAAGTATAGATCACAGAATAAAATTATCCAAGACGAGGCGTTTCTTCTATTCAGAGCGAGCATATAAGCTGAAGTGTCCCGGCATGCTTCCGGTCATTTACCTTTCAGAGCCTTCTCGCCATGCTGAACCTATAGCTGAACTTTGCAGCGCATAAAAATGATTAAAATGAGCTTTTTTCGAAGCTCTCCTTGTAATTGCTGCAAGATACATGTAAGTGGGCGGGGTCCGAAACAAAGGGGTGGGGCCCCCTCAGACAGTCGAAGGGTCCGGCGGGCAAATGGCGCGAGTCTGCCAGAGTTTGCCAGAAGGGTCCTATTCGCCTGCTTGTGACGTCACCGTGACGTCACGGTGATGACACGGTGAACGAATGGGACCCCTTTCCCGGACGCGCAAATCTCTGCTCCGGAGGTGCGCCAGATTTGGGGGTTGGGAGAGCCTCGAAGCACCAAAATGGGTGAAATGGCAGGGCTCCGGAGGCGCCAGAGCGCGAAGTGGCAGACTCGCGCCATTTGCCCGCCGGAGGTATCCCTTCGACTGTCTGAGCCGAGGACTTGCACAGTGGATTTCAAGCCTTCTAGACGGCTTTTTCGTTCCAGACTTCACTAAACGATTAGCTAAAGAGTTGGCCATTGCAACGCTGTAAAATCCGGTACCTATCATTTTGCCGGGAAGCTGCCTCTAATATTGTGGTCTCACCATTTTCATCTTTGTTCAAAACCGCTTTCACTGTATATAGTCAGAACGCGACAGATTTGAGATTTTGAAGAAGCTGACACAGTTTTTAAAAGTAGCAAGCAGGAACAAATTTGTATAATACAGCGTGTCAATCGAATTGCCATTTCACTCATTTCAAATTTCTCACCGCATCAATAATGCCAGACGTTACTGACAGCTAATCTATCAGATCATCACGGCTACAAAGTTCCAGAACCCACCTTGACTCCATAATGACGAAGCTCGTGAGAATACGCTGCAGTAACAACAACATCGCCTTCGATTTTTGAATATACGATCTGAAACTGTTGTTTCAAGCACTGACATTTATATCAACGGTCCTTACCTGTGCAACAATATCCTTGTTTGTGAAACGAGCGACTAGCCGGTACTTTGGTGAGCCGTACTTGTTTTTGTCCTGCTTCGTCAGTCTAGCTCTAGCGTAATAATCGGTCTTTCCTTGGCGTCTCCTCTTCAGTTTCACTTGAAATCGTTTGAAGAACGCTTTGTTCTTAATGACTTTGACCGCACCCATGATCTTGAATACAACTCTAAGAAAGTATATACTTAACACTAACAAAGTATAGAATGGCCAAAATCTAGAGCTATCAAATACAGTTCAAGCATGAGCAGTGGCGCCCATGGGGACTGGAGCGGTTTCGCAATGAACTGTGGCGTTCATGATGTGCACGTAGATTATTACAGGATCTAATTCGTACAACATGTCTGTCAGGTTGTCAGACGTGTTAACCATCTATTTACACGTCGTTAATTTTTGCAGCAAGCTCCAACAACAGATCTTCCGTTGTTTCTTCTATTCAAAATTTATGGTGATTACCTGCTTTTCCTGCTTTCATAATTTATAAGGAATGTTGTAAATGGTGGCCATTTCAATAGTTTTTCTGCGCGCAGTCACGCACAAAGAAGGGACTCTAGTATTTCTCATCGAAATCTGAGCGCATAAGGTGTACAGTTCTTTTTCAACCCGGAGTAGGCGAAACAGGCCAAGTGGAGCAGCGCGCTCGCACCGTCACTGACACGAGATAGATTAGAATGTAGAGTCGCAGACTGCAAAGCGGCGCGAATCGTTGCGAAGCGGACTCCCACCAGTCCAATTTTCGCCTAAACTGAGTTGAAACTTACCATACTGCCGGACAAAGGCGCAGAAGCTTTTGTTGCGAACGCGGTTTCACTGGCCGCAAGACGCAGGTGTGACTGTGCGCCATCGCGGGGGAACGGTCAGGAGTCACGGTCGGTGCGAATTTTTCGCGAGCGATGCCGCAAGCGATGTCAGCAAAACAGAAGCCAGCACTCCTGGCGCAGTCTTACTTATGATACGAGCCATGGATCTGCCCCCACCCCCACCCCCCTAGACTGGCGCCGTGCCACTTTAGCACCGGGCAGTTTTGTGGGGTACAAAATTTAGACGCGACGTTCGCGGCGAAGCGGCGCGGCGCGCGGCGTGACTCCTGACATGGAGCGAGGGACCGTAGATTCGCCCGCAGGAACGATTACTTTTGGATTGGAGCAGGAATCCTCCGTAGAGCACCTTATCCTTCCAACGCTGATTTTGAGGATGCGCTTGCCAAATAACTCAATGTTGCGTCTTGCAACGACGTATGATATATGCCCAACTTCCATCGGCTGCGAGATAACGTGCTCCAAACAAATATAGCCCTAACCTAGTGTAAAAACTATGTTTTCGACTATTTTGTGGATATTAGTCCGTACAAAGTATTTTCTTCAGACTTACTATTATGGAGAATATCTGAAACTTTACTACAGAGTTCGCTCTCCCCCACAACCTTAGAATAGCTTTTCGCTGCAGTCGTACGGTGAGATCAATTTCCTCGGCGATTCCGATCTATCATCATAATGATATTGGATTATCAGGGTACCTATTTTATTTCTGTACACTTGCGCTAAGTGCACATAGAAGTTTAGATTACCTATATGCTTGTATGCAGCACGGAAATTGACATTATGTTTTACTTGATTAAGTCCAGATAGATACCTTTTGAATCATGTTCTCAAAGACCAAACTATAGAAAATGCTTCCACTATTCTAAAATTGGCGAGGACATTTATACGATAAAGGATGGAAAATCTTTGAGGAGAACAGTAAAAGAAAAAGAAGTACATGTTCAGTGGACTCAAAGCGTGTGCCAGCTGAATCAAATTCATTTTCTAAATCAGGACAAATAATATACTTGAGGCAAAAACACTTTTCCTCAGAAAGAAAACAACAAGTTTCAGTGGCGCAATCCACCTATGCCGTACAGAAGTCAGTGGGAACGACAAAAATTCTGAGAAAAGTTAATGAAATTCTATTTTTAAGTTAATCAACATGCGGAATCATCGGCAAAGCGACTTTTTCTCCGCTGCAGCACGGCTACCGTAGTTATGCAAGAAAGTATTTATCTATCTACTTTGCAAATTATCTGTCATTCCTGAAGTGAAAAATAACCCCACTGACATGATAATTCCACTTAAAAATACGATTTTGAAGTTCCTAAAGGGAAAGAGATATCAAAACCTGCGAAAATTTTTCGTATGTCCTTCTTAGTAGTATATCTGAAGAAAATAAGTCGAAAATAAGATCTCTGAAGAAGATTAGGACTCTGTTTGTTTGGAGCACGTTATATCGCAGCCGATGGAAGTTGGGCATATACCGTACGTCTCTTGCAACTCTGCTACCGCAACTCTAATCTCCGTATCAAGCTTGTCGAGCGACTTTCTTTGATCGTGATATGCACTGACTTTTATCAGTGAAGTTTTTGCGCTCGGATGTTCTACATAAACAAAGCCATCGAAATGTTTGCCACTTTACGGCTAACACTTATCTTGCAGACGCTCTTGCCGCGTCTGTCATTTGAGCGGACTTCTTCAAATGCCATGCTTGGCAACAGATATCCGAGAATATTTGAATTGGCAACAAATTTGTGCAAGTTGTGTGCATTATCAACTCTCTGCCAGATAAACGTGGAACAAAGACTGATTTCATGAGGGCATCGCAATTCAATGCATAAACACTAGAGCATGAAGAATAGAAAATACATCGCAGCGCTTTATTGCTCCGGAAAGGAGGACATCTCACAGTCAAGCTCTGCCATGATTTGCTTTGTAGTATTTCAGATTTACTTAAATCATTCAGGCCTGTTGTAGAATCAAGTTTTCTCTTTTTGGTGTAAGGCACATTTGATACAACAAACTTGCATTATGGCCCCAATCCTCATATTTCAAGTCACCCAATAATTTACAATGCAGATTTCCAGATTTGAGAAGAGCATTGATTCAGGAAACAATTTTGTGCCAAGTACCAAAAATCAGGTATGATTGAGTCTATTGACGTTTTATCATGTTCTTGTAAATCTGAAACACTGCAAGGGCTGACGTGAAAACTGGAGTCATAGTTCAAGTTTGTTGAAGGTGACATTTGCAATTCTTATTGCAAACGGTTTCGATTAATGGTGCGTACATTTTCGACAAACTAAGTCGTAAAACCTAAGCATCGGCATTTCAAATTCTTTTGCAAACTTATATTCTTGGCGAGCTTTGAAAAATGAAGTTCAGTGGCCTTTTTCCCCGCTTACATTTCTGTGACCGTACCGTAGTAGAAAATCGCCAAGATTACCATAAGTCTGACTTTTTCAAGTCTGACTGACTTTTTCTCAAGTATATTTGTATGTATATTTGTATAAGGCAAATTCGCCTGGATGATGCAAAAAGTAAAAATTTTTCAGTGAAAAGGAGAAAGTTCTGTGCATCTGATACTTGAATTAGCCTTTCAGGTCCAAGCAGCATGATGTATGGTGATAAAAATCTACAGCGCATCCCAAATACTGTGCACACTGTATGATCGTTAATAACTCTCTTGCCTTCACGTCTTCTTGAAGAGGGCTGTACAAATTTTACGGAGCTGAAAGACTTTGACAAAAGCACAAAAGATCAAATCTTGCCAGCTCTCGAGAAGTCACAGCAAGAAGACGACGATCAAGCTGATTAGGGCGCAACATTCACAATCAGAGACAAACTACGATGTTAAGAAGCTGGTACAATCATAGTTTCCTAGTGTCACCTTTTTTACAAGAATTTCGCTTATAGGCAGACTCCCCGATAGTCAAGGCATTCAATGAAGCTGAAAGGAGACGGTTGTCCAGATCGAAAAAGTGATATCTACTGAAAAAAGGAAAAAGCAAATCAAACTTTTATGTACAAATTCGAACCGCATTAGTAAGGAATTTTGTACTTGATGCTGATAGTAATGGAGACCTAGAGCTTGATTAACTCATCTTATGCTGTAACTCTGCGCGGTTTCCCAAAATCAGTTTCCGCTGGCGATACCCATTTGTCCAGATTTGCCTGGACGCCGCTTTCAAAGAAAGTGGCTCGGCAAGCTTGATACGGAGATTAGAGTTGCGGTAGTAGAGTTGCAAGACGCAACATTGAGTTATTTGGCAAGCGCATCCGCAAAATCAGCGTTGGAAGGATAAGGTGCTCTACGGAGGATTCCTGCTCCAATCCAAAAGTAATCGTTCCTGCGGGCGAATCTACGGTCCCTCGACATGGAGCCCCATCGCGTACGCGCCCGCTTATTCTCTGTGTCACTGGAAGTAGCGCCGACTTCTCTGCATTCGGTGCGTGCGGTGCGTGCGCTCCCCGTGCGACGCTTTGTATTGCGCGCGGGCCGGGTAGAGAACTATATGTCGCCGAAAAAGGGCGGTCCCCGCGGTCATTTGCGACAAATACGCACCCTTGTACATGCGCGGACATGCGTTCCTGCAGGGAATCCGCGCGGGACTCTTTCAAACTCGGCGACATATAATCCTCCACCCGCGCGGGCCGAACAATCAATGCGCACGGTGTCGAAAGCGCTCCATCCGCAAGCTACTAGAGGTCTTTCAGAAAGCTTCTTTTTCTTTTCGTCGTGCCGTGAGCATTCTCAACTTTACAGTCCAAAAAAATTCCGAATTTGAAGAGTTCGAAAATTTGTATTCGAATTCATAGAATTCAAAAATTCAAATTCAGCATCCATTCGGGCAAAACTTCAAATTCAGCATCCATTCGGGATGCTGTCGAGGGACAACCTTCGTAGAAGCAGAAAACCTCTCATGTTCCGCGATTACTCAGATGCCAAGAAATGATAAGCCAGCTCTACGAATGACGGAGCAGCCTAATCACAGCGTCGTACCTCACGCGGGTACCCCTTACAACTGGAGGCGCGCGGTTGGTACGGTGAGAATATAGTGCGCGCGGGCCGTACGCTAAGGATACAAGGCGCGCGTGCCGCACTCCTGGCCATTAGAAAGCAAGCGCGCACGCACCGAATGTCAGAGTCTAGCGTTGGGTCCCCCGCGACCGCTTCGCTTGTTCTCTGCACCACGTTCGCACACGAATCGTCTGATCATTTTTCAAGCTCGGGCGTATAAAAGGCTCAGAAGCGGACTTTAATCGCTAATTAGGGCTGGGAAAGTGACCACCCCCTGCGGTTCGGACCTACATGGGCTCCTCGCTTGCGGTGCTTGCGCCAAGTTCGTAAGCTTACCTCTGGGCACTTTCCCACGCCTTGAAGCCGTCTATCGCCAATGAGCGTGGGAGAATGCCCAGAGGATACGTTCGCGGACGCGGCTGCGAGCGCGCCGGCTCGAAGAACTGAGCTGCTAGAATTGTGACACTCACATTGAAACAATCTTTACACTGCATAGACATGCAACGGAATCGACGTAAAAATCGCTTAAAGGCAGTGCGTCGGCAGAATGAGACCCGTGGCAAAAGAAGGTCACAGGGTAGGAGCCCCCGTAATGGAACCTGTGGGCCAAAGTTCGGTATTTCTCTGCCACTTCTAACCCCCGAAATTTCAAAGCGAAAGCAGCGCTCATCTCCTGTCCTCTCCGAACCCGCCCTTCGCATGGACGAGTGACTTCCACGATCAGAGCGCCAGCCGCAATGCTATAAGCATGAGGTCTCCAACGACTCTGCGTCTTCGCCATGACGGGCTCCGCGTTCTCGTCCATGTGGTGGGCGGGTTCGGAGAGGACAGGAGATGAGCCCTTCTTTCGCTTTGAAATTTCGGGGGTTAGAAGTGGCAGAGAAAGATCGAACTTTGGCCCATAGGTTCCATTATGGGGGCTCCTACCCTGTGACCTTGTTTTGCCACGGGTCTCATTCTGCCGACGCACTGCCTTTAAGCGCGAGGCACGGGTGGTGAAAGATCAGTTTCCGCACATTTTATGCACATTTCAGATGTTATCTTCTCTGAGCGATCCTTCGGATCTAACATTTGCACATCTTTGTGTAGGATTTATCAAATGCAAAGACGAATGCGCCAGCATCTCCGCTTTCGCGCGGCTGCCTCGACTGGACTCTGCACCTCTTTCGCTAGCATGCCCTCTTATCACTTTTCCACTATGAGCGTGGGGAAGGCGGAGCTTCAATCGCTAATCGAGAGTGCGAAAATGATTAGAGAGCAGTTCGCGAATGAGGTACAGAGTCCAGGCGAAGCGGCCACGGGAGTGAGAGAGGGGGGGGGGGGAGAGATGCTGGTGCACCCGATTCTGCAGTGAAGTTGATAAGTTCTGTACTTAGGGAAAAAATGTCGGACATCGCCGTCGGCTTAGTGCTAAAATATGCAAAGTCTTGGTCGTTGCACGCTAGGGTGAATTTTTTCTCTTTCAGAACTGCAAATTAGCGGTGAAGCAAAACACAGATGAACGCGAGATCGAGCATTCTGCTTGCGCATGAGGTCTCACATTTTCTCAGGCATAATTGAAGCAGCCAGTGAGATGCACAAGAGAATCTTCTTCTCGAAATCCCGTTAAAACCTCGGCATTTCACTCTCAGACATAACAGATGTTTACATCTTCGCTTTTATCGCTTTGTCATGTTGATCAATTCTCGCTAGAAAATGTGATGAATATTGCTGTTTGTACAGGAACGCCACTTATCAATTTGATCACACTCTTATAGCGTTGACCTGCAAGGACTTGCTTCTTATGCAATTCGTTCCGGCTACTTATCAGTTGCACCCTTGAGAATCGCAGGAGGTTGGTCATCTGCATTTTCTTATTTTAAGCTTTCCTCATCTTCCTCAAAATGTCGGTGATCATGCTCCAAATTTTATTTCCTTTTGCAACATAGCTTTTCGGTTTTCTAGAAAGTTGTCATTATTGAACAAAAAATGCCAGATCGCAATTCGAAATGAATCATGGTTTTTCTCTAATTTGTTTCTTATTTTGAACTCATAGCTTATTCGTGCCTACTCTCTCAGTGCGCGACGCATTTAGTATTCGATGGCCTTTTTCAATCATATTGTACTAGCTTTTGATTAATTGAAGGACAAGATATCATTGTAAAAATTCAGGCCTGCGTAATTATCTGCATCTACCAGTTCGTGACAAACGTTTGTCCTCTCAACTTAATTATTGCTGCAAATCCTTACATGATCTCTCTCCACTATTTGATACTACTAGGCTGCTTTACAGTTTTTGGAATGTGTTGTTCACTGGGTTGCTGCTGCGTCGGTGACGCATCGGACGAAAACTACGAAAATCTTTTGCACGTGAGTAAACTTGTTCTTTTTTTTTTGTTTTCTAACAAACTCCATTGCTTTCATTTCAACCATTTTGTAATTGCTTTCATGTAAGCCGTTACATTAGCCTTGTAATTAACGGAAAAACACAACTTCCTCGATCTACTTTATCTCCATTTTCAGATCATGTGCATTGTCGCAGACTTTCGATATGTGCATGTCACATACAGAGAACACAGTTTTTGAATTTTTAAGTCTCGAATTTTCAACTTACGTTGAAGAGCTCAAACTTCTGGAACGCCATAGGTTGCGGAAACTCTGCCCGAGGTTGCCGAGGTTGCCGGAGTTGCCGAGTTTGCTAGCGTTGCCCCGGTCAGAGACAGCTTAGGCTGTGTTCATACTGATCCGTAAGTTCCGAAACAGTTCCAGCACAGGGCTTGATGTGCTGTGCTGGAACTGCTCCGGAACTTACAAATCAGTATAAACTCAGCCTTAGAGAGCTTGCGAAACGTAGAGGCTGGCATGAGTTGCTACAACGACCGGCAACCTCGGACACAGTTGCTGGCAACCTATGGCCGTTCCCTTCCATTTGCCTTCTGTTACTGATGCTTCCGAAGTCCAAAAAAACATAGCGAAAAAAGATTTTGAGATGCCATTAGAGAATTGCATATATTTTGTAGCGCATGATATTGGAAGTAATGATGCCAATGGATAGCACTTCATCATCACTCATATATGCTGCCAAATTTGAGACTTGAATTTTCTGAAGTTTTTTTCTTGCAGAAAGGTCGTCGTTCGTGCACGGATTGTTCATTTCTTATCTTATTTCTGATCTTCTGCGGTGGTCTGGTACGTCGTAATTTGAGTTGCAAACACAAGAAGAACGCTTAATCTAGGGATCTATAGCATGGTTCGCTGTAGATAATGGAGACCCTTACCGTATTCTGTATGGTTCGGATAGTTTCGGCAACACTTGTGGGCGCAACAATGGACCGATTTTCATCCGATCGAACAAAACTGATGAAAAACAGCAGTTTGAGTATTCCGGACAGAACATGACTGAGAGAAGGTTAGCTGCGTATGCTGTTTCGATGGCGATGCACATCTTCGCAGAAAATCAGAATTCCAAGTATTGCAAGTGAGAAAGGAAAGCTGATAACAGAATGTTAATCCTTTATAAAGATACCAAACAAGGCAATATCATCGCTTGAGTATAATGTGCCTTAAAGTTCAGATTCATGTTTCCTCTCAATGCTTCAAAAGCACTAGACACTGTTTGGACCTGTGTCAGAAGCTGTCCCGAAGCTACCATCACCAGCTACAGAGGTGAGAACGGCAGATTAAGACAAATGAGAATTTTCTGCTTACCATGCTTCTACTTTTATCTTCTCGTGCTTTCCATTCCGCTTTTGCTACTGTGCTACAAAGAAAATTGTTCCATCTGGGCCAACGACATTTATTAGGTTGAACACTAAGTTTTGCAACTTTTCTCATAACTTCCCTCTCACGGTGCACTCAAATTTTGCCACTGTGTTGGTTATTATGTATACTACAAGCGCAGCTGCTGTCCTACCAAATTCTGACGTCGCAGTGAGGGTTACGGTAGGTGTATGGTATGAAGGGGAAAAAATCAAAGTTTGACGGATTTGGCTGAAACTTGGCATAGGGGTGTTATCCGACATGCTGATCACGAAAACGATGGTGAAATTGCGTGATAAGGGCTTTTTTGTAGGATTACTGTAGGTGTACGATATGGGGTCTCACCCTAAACAAGGAAAAAGGCGTTGATTCAACAAATGAATATGATATTCGCATCCGGCAGGTCAAATAACCTTACTATGTGAAGTCTCGACGGAATTTGAGCTTCGGACTCTTTAGTCATTGACGGTCGTCCCCAGCAGCTCTTGCGTACATCGACTCGTTCGACTTTATGAGGACGCCAAATCTCGACATGCTCATAAATTTTGTTTCTTTCTTGCTAGGCCAAAGGAGTCAACCTCTTGCAATAATTTATAGACGAATCCGGATTACTGCGCATGTTCTAGGCTGCCCTCAGCCTAGACCATGCGCAGTAATCCGGATTCGGGTTACTGCGGTTTCAAGCTAAAGGCTTCATTTGAGGTTTCAAGCTAAAGGCTTCATTTTAGCTTGAAACCTCAAAAATTCTCAAATTTTACTAGTTTTCGAAAAATGCCTGAAACTTTTCTATTTCGTGTTCAAAATTCAGACAATTTGTGCTCTCTTGTAGCTCACATTGCATTCTACATGATGCCAAAGTTTGAGTGCGCCATGTTGAATGAGAGTGAAGTTATGAAACAAGTTGAAAAACTTAGTGTTCGACCTAATCTTTTGTCAGAGAGTCCATAGTTTCAGAAATCAAAAACTTAGCCTTAGAGCAGAACAACAGTCTTTGTGTTGACCATCAGTCTGCCATTGATGCAGCAGAGCAGAAACCACGATATGGCACTTGTCCAAGGCTGCCTGTTCTCAAAAGGTTGTATCGCAGTCGGGTGGATTATGAGGAGGACGACAATTTACCTTTTCAGTATCAGCATCCTGAATCGTTGTATTCCGGAGGACTTAGTTACTTTCGGTCGAGATCTGCTTCAAAAGGTATAGTCGAGCCTATAACGTCTACTCTAGACTAGTAAATTGAGGTAGTCGAGTTGGACTGGATTCGTGGTTATCTTCACGATCTCATTGATACATCTCCGTTTCTACTCCAGATGTGTCTGGTGGCATTAGGTAAGGCTGGCTGCAAAATGCTTCCTGACTTTCGGCATATTATTGATTATTTTGACAAAGATTCCGCTTTGCAAGCCGAATCGAAACACTCAGACAACTGACCGGAACTTCCGAGAACGTTTGGGAAAGTTCCGCCGGGTCACCTGTGGAAATTCCGTAAACGTGCTGCCTTTTGCTGCGGAAGTTCCGAGGAATACGAAGAACCACATCAGCAAAAAAGAACAGCTGAGCGAGACGAACCTTGCTCTATCGGCTGCGAGACTCGCTTACTAAACTATGGATTACTGCACTCTATGGATGACGTGTTTGACAATGCACTCTAGTTGTCGGCGAGGCAACTCATAAGAAACACACATTCAAAAACTGCGGAAGTATTGGCATGTCAAAATGCTGCGGAATCGCTGGCATTCTTCGAAATTTTCGCAGCGTTTTGTCGAAAGTCCTGTGGAAGGTGAAGATCCAAGTTTCCATTTTCAACGTTTCCGCTTTTGCAATAGTAAACAAAATCCTGCGAACCGCTGCAGATTTTGCTTGTCCTGCGCAATTTCCGTGAAATGTCGAGTACATATTGCGGAAGGTTGTGAATATACATGATGCTTACTTTTTTCAGCCCTTTCCTTAGTATCGATAGCGTTGCTGAGGTTCTTCGCTGCAGCTATAATATATTTTATATACTTGGCAGTCGCATTGTTGGCCATAGGTAGTCGCCTTTCTTCTGTCACGCTTTTTTAATCGTATAAGTACATGTAGAATTTTCGCAGGATTTTCCGGAAGTATATGGTATGCTATCTGGAAAGTACGCATGAATTCCTTACCGTCGCTTGGTGGTGATAATGCCACCGAAGCCACCACAGCAACCTTATCTGATCACAAACCTTACCGACTTACCGCGGCCAGTCTTTTCAACGATCAAAATCTCTCGCAGATGTTCAATCTTGAAAACACCACTACGTTGACGCTTTTTGCTGTGGGGATTGGAGCTACAGTCATCTCAGTATGTTTGACTTCTCATTGATAACTCATTACTGTTTCTGATCCTAGTCATAACAATCAAACCTTTATATCAAATCGACTTCAGACACGTGAATAAATCTTAACACGTTTCGGACCGCGAAATCGCGCGCGACGAAAAAGAGTGTACTTTCGGCCGTTAGCCAACAAAGCAACCCTATTTCGCAGACTGTGGACTACATATGTAATCAGCATGACCGATAACCTCCATACCCAAAGTTCTGGGTGAATTCGAAGTCTTTGAATTTTGTCGCCTGAGAGGGGCTTTTGTGCTTTCTTGAAAGATGGGAACAAGAACTCAGTCTCAAATAGTATCTAAAAGTATCTATGTTGTACACTGTACTCATCGTTATTAAAACTACGGTTTATCTCTTTGAAATCGAAGCAGAGGAAAGTTGGGACGTCGCACGCGTCGTTCGCGTTGCCGCCCTTCTTTGCAACTGTTACTCGATTTGTCCCCATATCTTCTAAACAAATATCGGCAGCACAGCTCTATAGAGTCCTTTGAAAAGTAGGAGCTTAGACCTTTGACTCAATAACCGTGAACTAAAAGAAAACCTCCTGCAAACGTCAGAAAGATCCTCTAATGCAGCGTGCTGCACCATGTGCAGCACCGGTCCGAAACGTGTTAAAGTAAGAATAAATGTAGAGTCTTAGTCAGTGTGCTTATGCAAATTCTTCCCAGATTTTCATCGTAGCAGCGGTGTGGTGTGTCTTACCGCGAGGTAAGAAGATGATACGGCTTTTCAAAGGGGCGTCAAAGGTTAGATGATTATCCTTGAAGAGGCCAATATTGTGCATCAAATTTTACAGGCGCTGTCAGCAATGCCATCTCTCCTTTTGCAACCATTGGTTAATGCAGCCTTGATTCTCATGGTTGCTATATATACGCTAAGCGTCGTGCTTGTGCTGTTTACATCAGGTGAGATCTCATCTTCTCTGTGGTTGTTCTATGCGCCGTGGATTTCAATTTTAACATGACTTAAAATCCCCTCTCGAATCAATTTAATGGCCGAGAGTCACTATGCCGCAATGATACTCTATCTATTAGTAATAACACGTTTATTGTCTTGTTCGCTAATGACAACGTAACTGCATTTCCATTGACGTCACTCCACGTTGAGGTAATATGTCGCACTTACCACACTTCGAAAGTAGCCGGGGTACATATAATAAGTGAAATCAACTTGTTTCTGAGACCTGTAATAGAAAAATAATAGAAAAATAACGAAGATCTTAGTTTTTAGGTGACTTGGTCAGCAGAAGGATAACGAATGGAGACAACAGAAATGAAAGTATCCTTATAATCGAGACAAATATGACACAAACGACTAAGTAGGTTTTTCATGACTTTGCAAAAACCACGTCTTTCACTAGTAGAAAAGAATTCAGAATAATGATGTTCTACCAGCTTGTTGGTTTCATATGGGTGTCAGAATTTTTTATGGCGTGCCAGCGGCTCTTTATTGCTGGGGCTGTCAGCATGTATTATTTCGACGTGTGAGTTGACAAAATGCTCTTGCATGTCTCCTTTTTGCCCTTTCTGATAGATGACAAAAATGTGATTTCTGCTGTGAACGGAGCCTCTTTTAGGTTGTCCTTATCTCGTAGATTTGCGTCACCTACACCCAGATCTCCGGTGATGTGCTCGTTATGGAATCTCATTCGATATCATTTGGGATCGGCTGCACTAGGAGCATTCATAATAACGCTTGTAAGAGTGCCCAGATACATAGTAATATGGACGCTTGCCAGGTTAAACAACAATTAGATTGCTGCTGTAGAATGTCGGAGCTAATGCTTTGTTTATAGAATGCGATCCGTTGAAAATGTGATAATCAAGAAGCTGCTAGCTGTTTTTGTAGTATTATTGGGTTGTATCGAAAAATGTTTGCGATATATAAACTACAATGTCTATACCGTAATCTCATATTCTGGTTTCAGCTTTTGCCCTGCGGCTAAGATGGTAAGTTTTTCGGGTTGTAAAGCCGTTAAGCTAGCTATTGCAGGCGGTAAATCACCTCTTGGATAATGCCGTTGATGTGGCGACTGTAAATACCGTGGGTGATTTGGTGCTCTTCTTAGCCAAATGTCTTGTAGCTGGAGCAACGACACTGTGCGCTTTTTTCCGTTTGGAGGAGGTAATAATGTTGTATATCACAAATGAATTTATCTGAATGACATTGCGTTTCCAGTTATGGCCAAGATTATCGCATCCGTGGTTCCCATTGTTAATCATGTTCCTGTGCTCCTATCAAATCTCAAATTGTTTTCTTTCTGTCTACGAGATGACTGTGGACACCATAATGCTGTGCTGTGCTGAGGAGCTGCTTCTTCTGAAAGACAATCCCGAATTATTGCAGCAGTATAGGGTAGACTATTACAGATTACAAAGTTTCCTGCTTGTGCTATTCTCCCAAATCATGATGCTCCCCGTAAATGGAGTACAACACAACTCATGCTTGAAATGGCAAATAATATTCGATTTCTGACAAAAGATGGACTGCGTTGTTGATGAAAAACTAACATTTTCGCCTTCGCAGCAAGCCACCCCAAAATTTTGTAAATCATCAAGCTTGGGTACTCAAAAGGCTACTATTTACAAAAGCCGAAAATTTTCAGATCTACGTGTCATTATTTCTAATTTACAGGAATACATTGATGGCACCTCGGAAATGTCGGGTCAAAAGAACGTGCGCTTTATTGGTGCTACAACAATCGAGGAAAGTTATCCTCTGAATACTGTAGAAGAGAGATGATGTCTATAATCTACTTTTTGTAATTAATGCTGTTCAATGCTGCTTGATTTTATTATCATTGTGCATCACTTATTACATAAGTCGATGTATACTGAGTCAGTTGTTGATTGAGTCTCGACCGATGGTTTGAAGAGTCGTTTGTGAGAATATTTGAGCATCTTTCATGTTTCTTTGGTGTTTTTCCTTGCAAAATGATCAGATTACCGCAAAGAATCGTTTACGGAAACTGTATGTATATAGCATCGTGATGAAACTATTCAGGTGAATTTAAATGAATCGTCTTAACTCCCTTTCTTTGGTAATTTTTACGTAAATCGTTGACATTACGGTTATTTGCTTTTTTGTTGTTTTCTTCGATTGTGTACCGCATAAATCTTATTCGTAAACTTCAAGTTAGTAGCAAACCAGTTTCATCGCTACAGTTGCTGCAAAACGGATTCATTTTTGATTTTGATCTATAATGTTTCAAGACATTTCACCAGCTTTCTCACTACATCAGCGGAGATAATACTAAATTCCTGTGGTTAGTTTTTTTTATTATAAATGGTGTGCTTACTTCCCCGTCGAGACGCAGACTAATTAGATGGTCCGACAGTTCCCACGCCAACTGGGCGGTGCCCAGGAACTTCAGATGAACTGACACTCCCCGGGTGCTCGGTGGTCCCCTCCCCAATTATATATGTTATGATGATAAATTAATCTAGCCAGAACTGTTATGTTATTACAAAGGAAAGGAACTAAGGGTAGAGGGATCAAGTCCCGAGATTAGCTAATCGTAGACTTGACATCCCATTCATTCATCGTTTGCTCTATAATGTTTTAATAAGGACTAGAAATCAGTCTAGTCGTAAATTTTAATGAATTAGGCTATTTTCACGAAAAGTAGCCTATGGCACCAGCCTTGCCCCGAAATGTGTGCCAAGTTTGGTACGTATCATTCTTGAAAAACTTCGGAAAAAAGCCGCGAGTATCATCTATATTCTACTTGGAGGTTTACTTTTTTGAGTGTGTGTATGTGTGGGTTGCACGTACCACCTTATATGACGACAGCAGCGGGACGATATGTTAAAGGATTGGCGTTGTGGAGGAAGAATGATACACAATATCATTTTTGAAAAACTTCCGGAGAAAAAAGCGCGAGTATCATCTATATCGTACTTACCAAATTGCTTGTGTAAGTGTATGTGTAGATTGCATATGTCGCTATTATACTAAACTCACCTTTTCGACGCAGCCCTTTTTTGAGAAAGAATACAGAAAAAAGAAACAAAATGATTGCCTTTCATCATGGACGATGTCGCCGAACATCAATCAGGCTTCGAGTTGGAAGTGAAAGTTAAAGAGACATGACCTTATGAAGCAAGTGTATCGGATCGTCATGACAACTGATGATTACTAAAAAAAATCCGGCGCCTATCTAACGGTTGGGGGACGAAAATGGTGTATATCATTTTGGTAATTTGATGTGCTAGAACAATCACCTTTAGAAAACAAATCCATAGTAACTGGAAGTGATGGCGTGGTAAGCTGCAAGCGTACCTCTCGATCAGTTATTGTGCACGTCACGAAAGAACGCAAAGTTTTTGGTCCGAATAGTTTGGAAGTTGCAGGCTGTAGAGGACGTTGTTTGACGATTTGCCATATATTCAACCATGGTCGGACGCGATAACATGGATTTAGCAGAACTTTACGGCGTCGACTTTCGTGTTTGCAATCTAGTAAACCCTGTCATTGATGAGGCTGTGGTTGAAAGTTGTAGAAAAGTAATGATGGAAGATCAGGAAACTCTTTTTGCGGAGCAAGCCGAGTAATAATTCCAAAAGTCCCCAGCCATCAACACCTCGGCAAGAACCCGGTCAGGCATCATTTGGTGCCATAGCCAATACTTTAGCGTTGTGAGGTAAAAGCGAAAGGAAATGGTTTGTATGCTAGTACTAGCTTGCTTACCCGGCCCGCTCGGCCTGTCAAAACACTTTAATAAAGGTCCCATCCATATCCCTGAACAGCCTTTCCCCATGCCCAATTCTACATCTCATTTCCCGTTTCCTGTGTTGTTTTCGAAATCAGCATGCCCACTTACCCCCACCCCTGTGCCAACTCCCAGCCCTTCAGCTCAAATTTTGAATCGATAAAATCGATAAAAGTAATTAGTAATTCTAAAAACTAATTTGTTTTCGTAATCAGCATGCTCGAATACTCCCCTGTGCCAACTCCCAGCCCCGTAGCTCAAACTATACAAAAAATCGATAAAAGTCGATAAAATCGATATCGATCGATGACGAAAAGTAGCCGCTCCCCGCCTCAAAGTGTATGTGCGCCAAGTTTGGTCCAAATCGGTTCAGAAATAAAAATTTCTATTCCGCACATACGTACAGACAGAAATACAGACACACAATCAGCTTTATATATAAGATCAGATGTTTACCATTTCAGTTGGCTCTTTTGACATACTTGCAGTTTCATTTGTTAAACTCATTTTTTTGTAGTCTTTTTTTCTGTGATGTAGATTCTATGAATCAATACTGTCTGTGATCGATGTGCGCATTGGAGTACCTCTCTTCTCAAATGTGTGGATATTCAGAGTTCGCAATTTTTCCAGGTTAACCATTGCCTTGGCCAAAAATGTATAGTACACCTACGAGAACAGTTCTATACAAAGGAGCGACAGAAGCGTTATGTAAGTTTCAAATACAAGGTGCTGTCATATCATATTCTTTCGATTTTTAGCAAAGACGGATAGTAGCAGAGGATCAGGAAAATGAAGTAGTCGAATAGTTAGTCGAATAAAGTAGTTTCTTTTAGAAGCAGGCTAAGGGGACTGGAGAAGAGTGCACGCGATCTGTTATGGATGGCGACAGACCAGCCGCAGGACCATGCCGGGCATGTACATAGCGAGTTTCCCGGATGCGCTTATCGGGCGGTTCTCAATCATCCCATCGGGCCTACTACTGGCGCGTAGCGGGCACTTAAATGGTGCATAGCGGACACTTACAGACGGGCCAGAATGGCCTTCACTTGTGGCAAGGAATGCCACGTAGGGAATCTGAGCAGGAGAAGATGCAAGGAGAAGGGAAAATGCTGGCAAATAAGCAAAAAAGAGGCCACTGAGGTTATGGATAAGAAAATTGTGAACGATGCATGCGCAACCATTCCAAAATCGCTTCAGCATCCAAACCAACAGCATCGCATGCATTGGAGGATGAATCTGCAGGACGAGCAGCGGATCTACACCTGACAGATACCATTGGGTATTGCATTGGGTTATTCATTGCGAAAACTGCATTGCGAACCTCTTCCTGTTCTTTGAGTTAATTTGCATAGATTTTTGTTGTAGGCTGTACAAATTCTGAGAAATAGCAGTCTTTACCTAATTTGCTTGCAGGTCGAACAGCACGACGAATCGAAAGTTGGTGGCTGCTAGTCGGCGTTTGCCGCAACGGAAGTAGATAGTTTAATCAAACTGTTACCGTTCAGGGCCCGGCACAGATGGTCTGGAGTCAAACTGGACTTCGTTTTTGAAGTGAGAAGCAACGGGGATATCGTTTTTATAAGGTCCTGGGGGAAGCGTCGATGAAAAAACACGAACATGTCAGATTTTACGAGTTGAACGTGTTCTTTCGCAAGCGCGAGATTTTCAGACGCAAGACTCAAACAAACAAATGGCTTGTTTACAGCGCACAAACAATCACATGACGCAGAATTTGGACTATGTGTATAGAATGTTACTCCTAACTATGTTATGTAAAAAGTTTCAAAAACTTATGTGTCCTAATATCCGTTCCCGAATTTGTTGGTTTCTAGACCAACACCAAACCAACTGGGTTGGTTCGGAGCTTTGACCGTTTTTGGTTTAGACGATTGGAACGGTCAAAAATCTATCATATAGTGAAGAGAGCGAATCAAACCATTGCCTCTCCTCTTTTCATGAGCTAAAAGTAGAGTAAATCTATGCGTTGATAGATATTGCGCCCAATCACGTGCGGTGTCTTTGAACTATGTGGCGAAAAATGCATCGCCAGATTGTTGAGGCCACAGATTTGGTTGGCATAGGAGGGTTTCGACATTCTGAGCACTAAAATATGTACCCTACCCAATGACAAAGCCGTTAATCAACTCAGGATGTTTTTTTTTGCTTTTTTTTTATTATGTATATTAATTGAGGAATAATTTAGTTGGCCTTATCTTACGCGTCCCGTATTAAGGCTGTTAGATGCTATCTTTTATCCTTTTTTTGACACTCCTTGCATTATCGAGGTCGGCCGGCGGGCGCTTACACTTCAAGTGAATGTAATCCCAGTGCTTGCTAAACCCTCACTCTTCTTCTATCTTCTTCTAATGCGCTGCACTTTAGGTCATTGCTGCACTAACGAAGTGCTTCTTATCACAAAGTGTATGCTTCACGCTTTTTAACCTCGACATATCTCATTAAAGGTCGTACGGCAAGTGTACTTCAGCGAGCGCATTTATTCTTTGAGCAGAAGCCGACAACATCTCACGCAATAGCAGGGCTCCCATGGTAACAGAAGCGTTGTTAGTATGGTTCTCCTTACAGCGAGCGGACCGCAGCGTTGCTTGTCCTGATGTATGCCTCTATTTTTTCCCATATAAGTCAACTGCGTTTGAATGTTGATGCTCGAGGGATATGGTCTAACATTTCGTCGTTTTAACATAAGCTGCCTTGAAAAAATCTAGAAAATAGCAGATTTGCCTAATTCTGAGTAGTATCCCCTGGGGAGTGATCCCTTCCCCAGCATTCCCCTCGTGCATAGCAGGGATGGCTGCTGGGGATCATTCCCTTGGAGGAATGGACGGCATGTCACTAATAGCTACAGCGTCCATGAAAAGCTAGCACGATTTGCAATTTCTTTTATGTGTGGAAATTCTAGTCTGAATGTCTGCGGCACCCTCCCCCCCCCCTTTTCGGCAGCATAACATATTCTGTTCATTCACTGTAGAGACTTCTAATTTTGGACACTTTTACGCTAAAATGTGCAGCATTGCGAAAGTGAGCAACATCCTTGAAAACAGCAAAAATATATTGTGCGTAGGAAATTTTTTTGCGCCGAGCGCAATCACGGGCGATGGCATTCCGCAACGAGTGAAATGCTGCCGATGACATGCTGGAGGCGAGTAGCTACCAAAAGATGAGAAAAGAGGAGTGATTACCACAAAAAGCGGAAGCGAAATGATTTCCCCGCTCGATTCCCCCTTCTGCATAAGGGGGTTCCCTTCCCCTACTTCCGGGGGATCCCCTCCCGGTATTGCCTT